GAGAGGAAACCACTCTTTCCTGTATACGCACTATCATGATTTATATAAAGACTGCAAGGTTTGCGTCCGGTATTTCATTCAGTGACTACTGGCTTTTTGTAAAAACATTGAGACCAGCGTGTTCCAGTCTTTACACAGGGCTTTTGTCAGCAATGCGACGTGTAGTCTATTTTTGTCTCAAAGGATTCACTGATGAACACAGTTTGAAAAAAAATATCAAGGCCGCTCTTGGTCAAAACTAAGTGAAGTGAAGCTCCTGATTACATTTCAAAACTGCTTAATCCTGTCATCAAATGCTTTTTTGTAAACCAAAACTGTTTTACTATGTTTTACCACTGTATGCTCATTTGTAATTTCTGAAAGTATACTTGACAAACTCCGCTGCGCAAAATCAAAAAAAGTCAAGCACCTGCAGCAATTGCATGAAATAATAAATACAACAAACTTTGAACGCAGCTCTGTACTGACAACATTTGTGAGAAGTTGGCTCATTCAACAATATACTGTATAATGCTACATTAATTATATACCATCTTGATCAGCTGATCGCTGTTACAGACTTACCACCTCCCTCCCGCACATCTTGGGTTCATCTTCTTCCTGTTTGATGTCCAGCCAGTCCAAGGGTAAAGGGGGGCTGTAGGAACATGGCACCCCTTCCTTGTCCCTCCCGATATCGGGGGAACGTGGTTGGCTCATCCCCTCAATCTCCTAGCATTATCATTAACGTGCTCTTGTTTTCATTTGACGCAACGTAAAAGAAAGTCGGGTATTGGACGAGTCCAAATGTTGACAGGGGTGACAACCTCGTGTGAAGACTCGGCTTTGTTCTACACAAAAAGGCCTCGACAGAGCTGCTCTAACTTTTAGATGACTTTAAAATGGACCTGTCATAGGCGGATACATGAGAAAATAAAACCGTTTTATGGAACCAGACAATGAAAGTTATTGGGGCAGCAAAAATCCGAAGAAGTTGATATTTCATCACATCCTTTTTCTTTTCTTTTTAGACATATGTAAACATTTTGTTACAGTGTACATTGTAAAACCCATATAGATTTTTTAAATTGGTTTACATTTGTTTAAGAATGCTTTACTTAGCATTAAATTTCAATGCAGATTCTGGGATTTCAAATGAAAATTAAAGCTGAGTCGATAAGGAAATGTGTTAGCTATGATAAAGTCTGCATAAATTGTTAACAAAATTGTCTTACATATATGTTTGTGTATCCGATTTATCCTTCAACTCATCACTGCAATTTAAAACAATATACAAGTCGATTTATATATCTCGGGATGGTGGAGTGCCATGGAGAGAGAGAAAGAGGAAGAGAGAGAAAGTTTGTGATTTCAATAGAATTACAGGTATAAGGTCGATCAAACTATACAAGGTCCATGTAACACTTGACGATTCAAATTTCTAAGATTATTCTGAGATTTAGAATGTTAATATATTAGTGCAAATATCTAAATCTCAAAAACTAACTTCAACTGATTTGGTAAATTGAAATTTAACATTAAGTTCAAAAATCTAAATTTTCAAATTTTCAAACAGGTTTTAGACTTTAAGTTTTTAGATTTTTTAACCATTAATATTCAAAATTCAAACTTTCAAGAACAAGTTTTGTATTTCAAACTTTTGAGTTTTTAATCTACCGTTTTTTTTAGAATGTTTACGTTTTAACAGTCTTAAGTTCAGTACAGTTTTACGACGTTTGATATTTCAAAATTTACTTCAAACATCTAAATTTCAACTTTCATTTTTTCTTTTATTTTAGATTTTTATTGAAATTAAGAATTTTGATTCAAACATTCAAACTTCAAATAACCAAAACATTTAGAATTTTTAGGTCCGTGTAACACTTAACAATTACAGTTTCCAAAACGATTTTGAGTTTTAGAATGTTAATATATTAGTTTAAATTTCTAACTTTCAAAAACTCAAACTGATTTGCCATATTTAAATTTAAAATTTTAGTTCAAAAATCTAAATTTTCAAATTTCCAAACAGGTTTTAGAATTTTAAGTTTTTTAGATTTTTACCTTAAAAATTCAAAATTAAAATTTCCAAAAAAATTTGGTATTTTGATTCAAACATTCAAATTTCAAATATCCAAAACACTTTGAGTTTTAGATTTTCACTCTAAATATCCAAAATATCAAATTTCCAATCTCATCTGAATTTGAAACTAATTCTGTATCTCGTAAAAGCTCTTTTGCTTGACCAAAGCGTTTTTGGCATTGTTTCAAAATTAAAACCGGGTTTGGGATTTGATATTTTGGATGTTTAAAGTAAACTTCTAAAAACTCAAAATGTAAAAAGTGTTTTGGTTATTTAAAAGTTGAGTGTTTGAAAATTCTAATTTTCTAAAAATCTAAAACGTTTAAAAGCCGAAAAATGTTATTGAATTTTAGTTTGTTAATCGTAAAGCTTCATATAGATCTATATTATATGACTTTTTATACCAACTGAACATAGATCTATGTTTTCGGGGGGGGGGGCTCTTTGAGTTGGATTTATATCCTCTGCAATATTTTTCCTTTTCCTTAACATTAGAAAAGGAGCAATTTTGTTGTGTATAAATATTATTTAAAAAATTTAAAAGTATAATTCAGGAAATTGAGAGTAGAGATGTGAGAAAGCTAAACCAACTCACCAGTAATGCTAGTTCGTGCTCAGTGATGTGTGCAGAGTTTAACATTAAAACTTACAGAGCTCGTGCCCTGTTTACAAAAACAGTTTACGTTTCCCATTCTTCTAGATCTGTGAAAGTGCAAGGATGAATCTGTGTCCAAACACTTTAACTCAAAGTGCAACCTTACAGCTCAATACATATTTTAAGAATTTTTAGAAATTTGTGAAGCATTTTACTGCAAAGTCTGTGGGGACATTTTACACTATTAAAATTTCTATATTACACTTCTATTGAAAGAAAGAGCGATATATGGTAAGTGTCTCAATTCGCCCCTTAAAATGAATATCTTAATTGTACTTTGTATATAGCTTTAATTTGTACAGCTATGTATGCGACTTTTCTTGGTTATTTTCATTTTGATAAAAGTGTCGTTATTCTAGAAATATGACATCATAAAAATAACGTTTTCCCGCCATTTTAGCATATTTTGTATAAAAGTGCTTATTTTCAAGCAGTTTTTCTTCCAGAAAATATAGAGCGCAGCCTAGAACAAGATTTATATTTTTACCAAAGATGTATCTATCCAATACTAATAAGTGACAGAAAAATTACGTATGTTCTACATTGCGCTCTATGTTTCCCATAAGAAAAAACATCAAGAAAAAGGCATATTTTTGGCTTTTTTGCTAGATAGCAAAAAAAGCATTATTTCTCCTGTCATTTACAGCTAGTGAGTGCATATTAATGTGAAGAATGTATGGTAAATATTTCTAATATAATCTCCTCTACAAAATAAATATCAATTATACATATTTGAATGTCATTCTAAAATGCTGATTTTTGGGGGGCCAAAATTGGCTCTTATCATATATACTCCTTTAAAAAAAATACCAGTGTAACTCTTCTGTGTAGGAGATAGAAAATTTGTTTCTCCATATATTTAATAAAAGAGTTGTATTTTCAATTAATATATGTATATATTTGTATGAATAACATAGTCCGACCCTAGATCCTGCATACTTAAATATACATGTACATATACCCAGGGCACGTTGAATGCACGATTATTGAACAAGGGTTTAGTTAAATCAATGTTACTGAGCATACAGTTTCCAACATGCTTGGTATAGTGCAATGACTTTCTATGTTTTAAATATTTGACTAACTTAGCCCCTCCCTGGGGCCTGAAACAGGGGGGGGGGGTCATGCATTCAACAGTTAGACTAAGTACTAAGTGTTAATATAATCATTAAAACAGTTTACCTGAAATGAGTCAAGATTTTAAACATATACTTTGTATGTTTGGTATATGACTTTTAAACTATGCCAATCCCTAGAGCCTTAGCTGTGGACGTGGGGAAAATGGGTTTTACAATTTTGATTATAACGGAAAATTCACTATTATTTTGCATTTCTGTTTACCTGCTACATGTATTTTATCTTTTATAAACATAAGGCCAAACTTAAAAAAAATCCTTTGTTGAGTAGTTGCTGACCTAAAATTGAAAGAGAGGGTAGGATGTAGATATCTTATTTTTAGTTTTTTGGGTTTTGTTGGAGAACAAATCAGATTTTTAAAGGGTAAACTATATATAAAGAAGCTTTACTTATAATATGTCACGGATTGATGAAAACAAAATTCAAATGTCGGAAATTATAATTTTAATATTCGGAAAACTTAATAATAAAATAATTTTTTTGGGGTCAAGTGCTTTTTAAGCGGGTCGGTAAGCAACTACAAACAAAGTAAACAAGCAATATTTCATATTTTCAGCCTAAAAGATCAGCTTAGCCAGCCACTGGATCCTGATCCAAGGGTATAATAATTTCAAAATTATACCGGTATCTTTGATACAGGTTTCCTTACACAGGTACTTGTTTCGTATACTGGACACCCCTACTTATTTTTACCACAAGGTATTTAACTCAATTTCAGGCACCCCCGCTTCAAGTTCGTATTTTGTTAATATATCATTAACCCATTTTAAAATGACATCGTTCCCTTCAAAAGACTTTTTCTTGTCAATTAAAACGTTCCAGAGGTCTCTGGTCTATCCTCTTTATTGTAAACCACTCATTTATTCCTCAAAAATTACCTCGATACAAAATAAGACATCTTTAAGTTATAAGATACATTTACTTCCGGTTGGGGTCATAGATGTAGGATAAAATCAAAGACTTCCGAGTATTCATTCCGAGGTCTCTGGTTTTATCCTACATATATAACCCCAGATGGAAGTAAATGTATCTTATAACATGTTTTACTTTTGAGTGGTTTACAATCAACCTTGGAATGAATATATTTGAGACCTAGCAGAGCGCGGTGTATACTAGTTTAATTATACGTGTAGATGAAGATTCAAAAGCAATATATAGTACTTTATTTAAATATTAAGTTTATAAAGTCTATAATTTGTTCATTTCGTTTTCCCAGCATTGAATATCAGTACGCAAGTTATGTACATGTATGTGTTCTTCAGCGTGTACATTTTGGTCTGCTCTAGGCCTGGGAAGTCCACATCTTAGTCTGTAATAGAACTCGTCTTTACGCCATGTTACACAAAAAGATTTACTCTCTCGGTGTGACGGCCACTGAAGTTCTTCAAAAGCAGCCATTGATTTGTTGCGTAGCTCACTGGTTTCTCTGGACTCGCTCTTCTTCCGAATCACAAACACGGAGATGTTTTCTTGAGCTTTGCTAAGGATTGTATCCATATGTTTGTCGTTTTCATTGCAGAAGAAGATCACACAGGAACTAGAATCTATTAAATTCTGTAAGCTCTGCATCACCCCACCTATATATAAATAAAATTTGAAATGAAAAAAGTCTTGTAATTGATTTTTGTTACCATGCCGGATTCAGCATGCATCTCAACCTCAACGACACTTGTTTAATACGAGTATTGGGTCGATCACTTTTTCCTTTTCTTACCAAGTAGGGATGGATGAGCTACAATTTAAAAACAACGTTTTTGGCTGCAATCGGAGATTTCTCTTAACCACGTGAACATTAGTCTTAATTTGTTTGCATGGCTATAGTACATAGCCATGCGAATGTCTTGGATGACCGAGCTAAAAAAAATGTTTCTTTTTTTTTGTAAAGGGGGGGGGGGGGAGTAAATTTTTAAATAAGTCTCTACTTAAAACTGAAACATTTTAGGAAATGTTATTTCTTCCACATCATATCAAAATGAATTTTCGTTGTTAAGTTCCAAATGTTTATTTTTGCTTTTAAATAATAGGACATAACTTGTCAGTTTAAAGGGAAAGAAGCAACTTGAATTTAGAACACAATTAAGCGATAAAGTTACAGGTTCTAATAGTCAGACCCCCCCCCCCCCCCCCCCCCCCCACTTATTATTATAATATACAGCACGGGTCAAGGGTTTTTTTTTTCTTTTTTGTCTTCTTTCATAATTTTTTTTCAAACACAGGATTACAATGTACTCTATATGGAAGCCAACCCACCCCAAAATAAAGGTGGAGAAAAGTTTAATTTCTAATATTATTTTTCTCATTTAATCCAAGCTCTCTCATTAGCTCAAACTTGATCACATGATCAAGTATATAACATCGTAAAGACTTGTGTTACTATTTATAGATTCTGAAATGCATATGGACTTAATGTTTCTAACCATGTAAATAATATTGTGCTTGCTAATGCAGTGTATGACTTGGCGTTTCTGAAAGAGAAAAATAAACTTAAACTCCTGTTTATAATTCTAATGTTCTGGGATATAGTAATTGGTAACAGTGCCTTGAATAAGGATCTACTTTATATTAAAACATACTCATAATATTAGAGATGTTTTCTTTAAATTAATACAAAACATAATAAAACATATTAAGCTTTTTGAATTACTAGTATTAAATTCCCTGAATTACTCTATCATTATATAGTAAAAACAAAAACAATAAACAGCCCAGATTAATTTTGATCTATAGTCCCTTAGTGTTAAAAAGACAAGAGAAAAACTTATGCCTTGTTCCCATTATCTTCAAATTTTCTTTTGTCAATCTCCGTAAACAATAATATAACAAATGTAGCCCTTTAATTCGGTCAATCCATAGATATATCGACTTCATGAATATCTATGGATCAACCTCATCAAAAAGCTATATTAATAAAATAATATCAGACCTGCTTTATGATGAATAATTTGTTTTTTTTAAGGTTTTCTTTTAATACAATATTTAAAATGTGACGTGCCAGGAAACAACATAAAAACCAACTGTTGAGACAGCATTCCCATGGGGTTGACTTGTACATAGTTTTAATAATTTGGCGTCAGTTCTGACGTTTATCTAGCAGTCAAAAATCAAAATCGTGGAAGATTCCGGGAATACGCCAGTTGTTCCGGATGACACTTACCCCCGTGACTGTCCTCCTGTGCACACACCTTGTACATCAAACACTCCAACTCCTCTCTCAGTCTGCTCGCCTCCCCCGCGTGATCGTCGTCCTTGTACAGCAAAACGTCATAATCATTTGTACCTGAAATAGATTAAATACATAATACTTAATTATTATTAAGATTTATATGATAGGTTTTTCTTGACTTTGTCTCAAGTACAAGCAGACAATCATTCACTAGCTTTTTAAACTATAAGCAGAGTAAATGTATCCTGATAATTACCATATTAAATGTACATAGTATATTCCGTGTAAAAGTAGAATTTAACTGTTGATCATATTAATTTTCTTGAAAAATTGAAAATGAAAGAAATTTTATACGAAAGGGGGTATAAGCATTAAAACTCACCTCTATCTGTTTTCTTGCCCTGACAGAAATGGTATATAAGGTGCCACTTGCAAAAAATAAAACAGAAGGCAAAGAGAATGATACAAAGTATAAAAAAAATTATTGGCACCACGACAGACAAAATAATGACGGAACTACTGCTGTCCATAGTTTTTATCATTGTTTCTGAAAAATAAAAAAAATATTTCATTATTTACAGCCTAATAGCATATATATAAACTTATTTACTAGTTAAATAAACATATGCATGTCACTCAAAATTTGATTATTTCCTTGAAATATTAAAAGAAATAAACAAGCAGCATAAATTGAAAGTCCTAGCTCCAATCATTCAAACCGTATAACCAAGATTAGCTAATGAAAAGTAAGTGAAATTCCAAAGGTTATGATCAAAGGGTCATAAAATGTGTACCTAAGAAAAGATCTTATGATTTGAACATTTGATTGTTGCTACGCGCACTGTTGACGTTTTCTGTCCAAATTTTTCTTTGATACTCAGAATTTTTTTTACATTAATTTCTTAAATCTATGGCATGTCAAACTTGCAATGTTCAATCTTTTCCATTTGTACTGTGTAATTTTTATTTGTATTATATAATTTTCCATCTGCATCGTCACACTTTTCATTGTATTGTATAATTTTTATTTGTGTTCTACAATTTTCCATTTGTATTGTAGAAAAAAATAACTTGAATTGTATAATCTTTATTTTGCATTTCATATTTTCCAGAGGTTGGGCTTAAGGAACCGGGGGGGGGGGGGGGGGGGCAATGAAATAAACCATCAGATATGACTTAATTTTTTAGATATGAATACAGGAGTCTGAAGTTTTTATCGTCAAAAAAAAACAAGATGTGTTTGTGAAACACTGATGCCCAACTATGGCAACATAGTGAAGATTAATTTTTCTTAGATGCAAATTCAATACATTGGTACCCAAAGTAGGCTCTCCTCACTGGAAATACAATTGTAAAACATGAAAGCCCTATTACCATCTGTTCCAAAGTGTTGGCCAGGCTTAAGTTTTTTCATAAGTGCAGAAATCTTCAAGATCAAGGTCAGAAGGTCAAGGTTATTGGTATTGAATGAAAGGTCTTTCAACAAAGATCACATGATTAAATTATGGCAGCCCTAGCCCTTACCATTTAAAAGTTATAACCAAGATAAAAAAGATTTTAACAGTACGTTAAATTCAAAGATCAAGGTCAGAATGTCAAGGTAATTGGTATTGAATGAAAGGTCATGTCTTCAGAATTACATTTGTGAAGTATGAAAGCCCTAGCTCTTACTCTTCAAAATTTATTGCCAAGGTAAATTTTTTCTTTATAAGTTCGGAAATCTCCAAGGTCAAGGTCAAAAAGTCAAAGTTATTGGTATCCAATAAATGTTCTTTCTAGAAAGAATACATATGTGAAGTATGGAAGCTCCAGCCCAAACCTTTCAAAAGTTATGGCCAAGGTTAATATTTTTTTAAGTAGGTCAAATTCTAAGGTCAAGGTCAAAGGGTCAAAGGTCTTGATATCAAATGAAAGGTCTATTCACAAGGATTAAATATTTAAAGTATGAAAGCACTACCTCTTACCCTTTAAAAGATATGGTCAATGTTTATTTTTTTAAAGTAGGTCAAACTCCAAGGTCAAGGTCAAAGGGTCAAAGCTCTTGGTATCCAATGAAGCGTCTTCTTACAAGGATTACATATGTGAAATATGAAAGCTCTAGACCTTATTGTTCAAAAGTTCTTGCCAAGGTTAAAGTTTTTTCATAAGTACGTAAATCTCCAAAGTCAAGGTAAAAAGGTCAAAGTTGGTGAAATCCAGTAAAAGGTCTTGTCACAAAAGATATATATGTGAAGTATAAATGTCCTAGTATCTACCATTTAAAAGTTATGGCCAAAGTAAAAATGTGATTTTTTTTTGTTTTAAAGTGGGTCAAATTCCAAGGTCAAGGTCAAAAGGTCAAATTTGATGGTACCCAAAGAAAGGTCTTGTCACAGGGAATACACATGTGAAATATGAAATATGAAAGTCACAGCTTCACTAAATCAAAAGTTATGAACAAGGTTAAAGTTTTTGCGGACAAACAGACAAACAGAGAGACGGACAGACAGAGCCCCCCGAGCCCCTTTAAACCGAAGATTTGGGGATATATAGTTTTTGTCATGTCCGTTTGTCTGTCTGAATGTCTGTTTGTCCGCAAAAATTCTAACCTTATCCATAACTTTTTATTAAGTGGAGTTTTGACTTTCATAATTTACAGTGGTATTTCTTGTGAGAAGACCTTACCTTGGGTTCCGACATATTTAATTTGCATTTAAGAGAAGTTTCATCTTTGCTTTGTTGCCATACGGGGCATCAGTGTTTCACAAACACATCTTCAATGTTCTCATTGTTATTAATTTCTTAATCATTGAGAATATATTCATCACTTGAGAAGCGTTAACGACGAAGCGTCGAGAATGCCACGCCTTACTGTAAGTCCTAGGATGAAAGAGAATGGTACTTTATAATTTCTTGTTTGTATTGTATATTTTTATGCCCCTGTAATCGAAAATTCGGGGGTATATAGTTTTTGTCGTGTTCCTCTGTCTGTCTGTATTTTTGTGCGCAAAAACTGTAACCTTGTCCATATCTTTTGATTGAGAGGAGCTATGGCTTTCATATTTCACATGTGTATTCCTTGTGACAAGACCTTTCGAAATACTGTAGTCCAGTGATTTTTGATGCCGCGACCTTGACTTTGAAGTTTGCACTTCTTTTAAAAAATTTGACCTTTTGACTTTAACCTTGGAGTTTGACCGACTTTTACTTTGGTCTTAACTTTTGAACTAGGACTTTCATACTTCACATATGTATTCTTTGTGGGAAGACCTTTCATCGGATACAACAAGCATGACCTTTTGACCCTGGAGATTTCCGTACCTGTGAAAAAACTTTAGCCTTGGCCATAACTTTTGAACCGTAAAGGCTAGAGCTTCCATGCTTCACATATATGTGACCCTTCACTGATACCAAGAAATGTTATCCTTTCACCTTTCCATTGGATTTGACCTACATTAGAAACAAACACTGACCATAGCTTTTGAAGGGTTAGGGCTAGGGCTTTCACGCTTTACATATTTAGTTCTTGTGACAAGACCTTTCATTTGATTTCAAGAAATTTGACCTTGATGTTTGAACTACGTCTTAAAAAAATTAACCTTGGCCATAGCTTTTGAACAGTTAGTGACAGGGCTTTCATACTTCAAATACTATGTAATTCTTGTGACGTTAGATCTTTCTTAAGAAACCAACAACTTTGACCCTTTGACCTTGGAGTTTGACTTACCTTTCAAAACCCATCCTTGACATAACTTTTGAACAGGTGGTGACAGGGCTTTCATATTTCACAATTGTATTTCCAGTAAGAAGACCATACCTTGGGTATCAATATATTTAATTTGCATTTAAGAAGAGTTCAATCTTCGCTATGTTGCCATACGGGGGGCATCAGTGTTTCACAAACACATCTTGTTTCTCATCTGTATTCGATAATTTTTCATTTGAATTGAATCCAAGGATTGTTTATTTATTTTATTACAACAGTCAATGTGATACAATGTACCTCTATAATTTTTCAGGTCCCCCTTTTTATATACAGGGACAATGTAGCCTTGGGACCACAGTTCTAGGTAATAACCAGTGTTAAATATAGAATTAACAAGCAAATTCAAAGAATTGTGGTCCACCGCTTTCGCTGTATTTGTGTGTGGGATTGTCATTCTTTATGCCAAATTGTGTCAAATATGAGTGCCCTATCACGTGTCATTTAGAAATTATCACCGATCGAAGTTGATTTTAAAAAAATAAGATCAGCTGTGAAGGTCCAGGTCAACGGGCTAGAAATCATAGAATGCTCGGAAAGATCTTATCACAGGTAATGTACATGTCAAATATGAAAGCACTGATTCTTCTCAATCAAAAGTTATAAGGGAATATTAATAATTTTGAAAAGTAGGTCAAACTTCAAGGTCAAGGTCACAAGATCAAATTTCATCCTGTATTTGGAAAGGTCTTATCACAGGCAATACACATGGTCAATATGAAAGCCTTATCTCTTCTCATTCAGAATTCATGACCAAGGATATAATTTTTGAAAAGTAGGCCTAACTTCAATGTCAAGGTCACGAGGTCATAAATCATAGTGTTTGAGGTAGGTCTTGTCACGTTTTATATGTTTAATATAAAACATTTTTTTTAAAAGTTGGTCTAACTTGAAGGTCAAGGTTGGGGTGTGTATTTAGAAAGGCCTTGTCACAGGTAAAAGGTTAAAGTTGTTGAAGATTAGGTAAAATTCAAGGTAAAGGGGTAAAAAATCATAGAGTACTAGTGTTTAGAAAGGTCTTGTTACAGGTAATGCACATCTCTAATGTAAAAGCCCTATCTCATCTCATTCACAGTATTGCCAATTCAAAGTTATGTTCAATTATTTAAGTAGGTCTAACTTCAACGTCAAGGTCACGGGCTCAAAAACCATAGTATATTTAGAAAAGTTTCTGTGACGTACGGACAGACGAATGAATGAGATTTAATCTTGCTTTCGCGAAAGCGGGAGACAAAAAGTTTTACAAAATATTGTACAATACACTGACGTGGCATCGTTTTTCAAAAAGGGGGCGGGAGGTTGGGCAACCCGAGGTAAAAAATTCTTTTACATAAAAACTGCATTACCCTTATATCACCCTTCTTTGCTAATACTGTACTGCACCCAAAAGTGTGTGTGTGTAGGGGGGGGGGAGACTTTTAATGACCAAGTTTCTCTTTATATTCTGCATATTTTGAATACACTCATCATTAAACCACGGTTTATCTTTTGTTCTCTTACATTTTATCCCTGTACTACTGGGAGGTTCGTACAGCATAATGAGGTAACACAATATTAATAATAACACTAACAGCACAAAAACAAAATTAACACAATTATTATACTCCCCGCTTGAAAAGCTGGAGGGTATATAGTAATCAGTATGTCCGTCTGTCTATCTCTACGTCCGTCCGTCTGTCTGTTAAGCTTTAGGGTACCCATCCCTTATCCGCAACTCATCTCATACCACTGAATGAAAGAGGAAACTTTCATAGAATCTTTATTACATATTGCCATTGTGCACCTCCTATTTTACTTTTTTATCCGAAACATTTCTTTCCCACAGCAAAAAATAGACTCTGCCATTTTATTCATATGGGAGGCGGGGGTATCATTTAGTGAGCTCATTGCTCACAGTACCTCTGGTTATACCCCCTGTTTGAAAAGCCCCGCTTGAAAAGCGGGAGGATATATAGTAATCGGTATGTTCGTCCGTCCGTCTGTTACGCTTTGGGGTACCCAAAAAAAAATTGATGAGACTTCTAGAGAATCTTTATTACATAATGCCATCATGCACCTCGATCTATTCTACTTTTTTATCCGAAACATATTTTGGGTTTCCCGACCACAGCAAAACATGGACTTTGCCATTATAACCATATGGGACGCGGGGGGGGGGGTCATTTAGTGAGCTTATTGCTCACAATACATGTACCTCTAGTTTTTACATCATTCTGATTACATAGTGGGATTTCATCAACTCTGACATATTATGTTGAAGAGCACTTGTAATTTCAGTACAGTTCAGCTCCTTCCATTTCACTTACAGACCTAACTTTAACAATGTATGTAATATTTTTATACCCTCCGCTTGAAAAGCGGGAGGGTATATAGTAATCGGGATGTCCGTCCGTCCGTCTGTTACGCTTTGGGGTACCCATCTCTTATCCGCAACTCCTCTCATACCACAGAATCTTTATTACACATTACCTTTGTGCACTTCCTATTTTAGTTTTTGATCCGACAATTATTTCGGGTTTCCCATTGCAAAACATGATCACTGCCATTATATTCATATTTCTGTCTTATTTTTATTTCAAAGTTACTTCCCTTTGCCCGTGACCTATTGCTATCTGTTTTCGTCCGTCGTCGTCCGTCGTCAATCGGTCGTAAACATTTGAACAATTTCAGCTTCTTCTCGGGAACCGCTGAGCCAATTTCCACCAAGTTTGGCTTATAGAATCAATGGGTGAAGGGGACAAAAATTTTGAAATTCATGGCCCCTGTCCCCAGGTGGCTTAAGGGGTGGGGCCCAAACCATTAAAATTAATGCAATCTTTAAAAATCTTTTACTCCCGAACATCAAGCAGTCAAAGTGTTGGCATGATTGTAATAAGCATTAAGTCCTCGGCCAAAATTGTGAATTTCATGACTCCAGGGTCAGGGGTTCTAGTAATAGGGCGGACCTGGATAGATAATATAGTGAAAGTGCATTATTTCTTTAAAAATCTTTTTCTCTGCTCCTGGGTATTAAACAAGCTAACTTAATGTATAGTTAATGTATAGTTATGATAATTTGTTTTCTCTGCTCCTGGGTACTAAACAAGCTAACTTAATGTATAGTTAATGTATAGTTATGATAAGCAAGAGTGTCTCTGCCAAAGTTGTGAATTTCATGGCCCCAAGGTCAGGAGTTCTAGAGTTAGGGCAGGGCTCTATTGATTATATAGTGAAAATGCATTAATTCTTTGAAAATTTTCTTCTCTGTTCCTGGGATTTAAGCTAATGTAATTAAATACATAGTTATGCTGAGGAAGGAAGCCTTTTCTAAAATTGTGAATTTCCTGGCAAATTGGTCAAGGCTTCTGGTGTTGGGGCAGTGTTCTATTGATTATATATAGTGAAAATGTATTAATTCTTTGAAAATCTTCTTCTCTGCTCCTAGATATTAAACAAACTAACTACGTACATAGTTATGATAATGAAGGGTGTCTCTTTAAGTATGATGAATTTCATGGCCCCAGGGTCAGGAGTCCTGGTGTTAGGGCCGGGCGCTAACGATTATATAGTGAAAATGCATTAAATCTTTGAAAATCTTCTTTTCTGCTCCTGGGTATTAAACAAATTAACTGCGTACAAAGCTATGATGAGGAAGGATGCTTCTTCTAAAATTGTAAATTCCATGGCCCCATGGCGAAGGGTTCTGGTATTAGGGCGGGGCTCTATTGATTATATAGTGAAAATGGATTTTAATATCTTCTCCTCTGCTCCTGGGTATTAAGCAAACTTGCAACATACATAGTTATGATGAGGAAGAGTGCTTATTCTAAAATTGTGAATTTCATAACCCCAGGGTAAGGATATCTTAGGTGGGGGGGGGGGTTATTGATGAATGGTTATATTGTGAACATGTATTTTTAACTCTTAAATAATTTTTTCCTCTGCTTCTTGGTATTAAACATTGAAACTGACTACAGACTTAGTCATGATGAGGAAGGGTGCCTCTTGTAAACTTGTAAATTTTTTGGCCCCAGGTTCAGAGGTTTCTGTTTTAGGATGGGACCCTTTGATTATATAGTGAAAATGTATTAATTTATGAAAATCTTCTCTGCCCCTGGGTATTAAAAAACTAAATACACAAATAGTTATGATGCCCCTGGGTATTTAAAAAACTAAATACACAAATAGTTATGATGAAGAAGAGTGCCCCTTTGAAAATTGTGAATTTCATGGCCCCAGGGTAAGGAGTTCTGGTGTAAGGGGGAGGCAGTTTTGATTATATAGTGAACATGCATCATTTCTTTGAAAATCTTCTCTGTTCTTGGGTATTAAACAAGCTTACATCAAGTTTTCACAATCTTCCAGAAATTGGAATTTCAAGTCCCCTGGATAAGGGGTATCATAGAGGACCGGGGGGCTCTAGTGTGTAGTTATGATGAGCAATGGGTCCTCTTTCAAAATTGCAAAATTGTGCAATAGGTCATAGTCTCTGGTTTAAAACATGAACGAAATTCAACTGTTGGAAAGTTGTTGCATGCATATGATGCTAAGGTGACCTATAAAGCCCGTGGGCCTCTTGTTTCAGTGTCCGAAGCCATGGTACATGTGTAATATAAATTTTCTAACAGCAATTAATGTCTAAAAGACATTAACTTCCTTTTTCCAAACTCCATGCTATTTCCAGTCAGAAACCTTGCACTATTATTATACAACCAAATGAGGATTAACTAAAAGTAATTCATGCACTTATTTATTTAATTAAAAAAATCATAATTCTAAAGGGATCCATGTACAATCCAATAATTTTTAAAGTCCAATAATAGTGTCACCCACCTCTCTTCGTGAGAAATACAGTCATATTCCGGTTGCCACCTACAAATTTATCGTCAACCAGCAGGCAATTATATGACGTCATATCCTCTTTCGTGACATTATTGATCGTAAGGGTTGTCACCAAATCGTCTCCGTCTCTGAAAGTAAAGGAATGATTAATTCTATTCATACTGAATAGCATATTATTTTACACCCTGCTTGAAAATAAATCGGGAGGGTATATAGTGAACAGTATGTCCGTCCGTCTGTTACGCTTTTGGGTACCCATCTCTTTTTTCAATTCCTCTTATACCACTGAATGAAATTTAATGAAACTCTTACAGAATCTTTATTACATATTGCCATTGTGCACCTCTTACTTTACTTTTTGTACCCATTCCTTATCTGCACCTCCCTTCATACCACTGACTGAAATTTGATGAAATCCATATTGCCATTGTGACACATATTTTGGGTTTCCCATTGGCCACAGCAAAACATGGACTTTGCCATTATTACCATATAGGAGGCGGCGGGTATCATTTATACAGTTAAAATAGTTTTCTGTTTTCCCTATCTTACTAGCCGGTAAGCGTTTTTTTTGTTGGTCAGTTTTCAATATTGTCCTTCAGTGTGACTAGTGACTTGTGAATTAGTAATTAAATTTTGTATGTGAATAAAATTTGAAAAAAGGAAATTCCAAAAACTATTATACAGATTATTTATTTAAGTGAACTTTTTCAATTTCTAAAAAAGAACAGCTATTTGTAAACCTTTGTATTTGATACGCGATTTGAGAAAAAAGACTGTTGATTTAAAGTAATCTAAGTACATTGTATCAGATATTTGTATAATTTATTTCTGTCTCATATTATTTTTAGTTTGGGTGTGGTGAGAAAAGAGAGAGAGGGGGAGAATAGTAACATTTTTTGTTTATTTTCAAAATGATTTTTTTTTCGTCAGGTTCACAATTTGTTCTTTGATCTCAGCCGTACAAAATTTTAAAGAACTCATTACACCACCACTGTATATTTTAGAAATCGCTGTCATGGGATAATTTGCATAAAAGGCAAAGCCCCAAAGGCATAAATTATCCACCGTACGTTTCCAACTCTTGTTAATGTTCCTGGCATACCTGACAAACTAGAGTACTTCCTTATATTATAATTTTAAAAATGTGAAATAAATTTGTAAATTTAGATTATTAAAATGTTGTCTTGTTTGTATAAAATACATGAAACTTTCAGTGTCAATTTCATTAGTCCCCACCCACTTACGTCAGACACAAAGACAGACGCACGAAATTTACGTGCATATAAGGCTTTCTTAGCTTCTGAGCTTTCGCTTGTCGAAATATACATTCTGTTTGAATTATTAAGAAATCAAGTCTTCTCCCTTTCAAAGAGTTATCAGAAAATAATTTTATTTTCGTTTTAACGCGTTATCTGATTGGATAGAAAATTAATCTATATTGCATAACCTAGTTTGCCTATGTCACAATGACTTACGTCAAAAACGTATCAATCCGCTATATATGTTACTTTTAAAATATACTGAAAGGAAAAAGAAACGCATAAGAACATAATATGGGAAAATGTTTTGACTATGTGGCCGAAAATTATGAAAATTGGTCAGATGTGTATTTTGGTTACTTTGCACTAAAATCGCTGGTCAAAACTACTCAACCATGAAATGTATGGCGTCACGTAGGGGAAGTGATAAAAAGTAAAAATAAACACGTGCATGTTGATGATGATAATTTTGTGATCACTTTTTTTAGTGTCATACGATGCATTAGAGTTATAGACATCTTTTTTTGCATATTTGCAGTCAGTATAAATTTCTTGCAATCGTGGTATGGCTGACGGAAGCTACTGTGGGTTTAGTAATTGAATTCAATATTGCATAAGTGAATTAAAAGGCAAAAACATGCTGCTGTACAGGTTTTTTTCGTTGGCGCGTAACAACGTCACAAGATAGGGATTTTCATCATGCCACCTCGGTTATTGTCAAGGCATTATCACTGAAACTGATATTTATACAGCGGACAATCATACTCATTTTTTTCATCCAAAATTGACAGAAACTCTCTGCTCTAATTTGGGCGGCGAGCTTGGCCACTTTACGTCGATTTTAGTCTCAAACGCGCACGTACGCGTCGTTTGCGTGGTTTTTTTTAGCATGTTCACACTGGAAAAAATTAGCTAGTGTTTGCCGAGACTTTTTTACAAACATCCACGTGTACCAAACCTGCTGGGTTCTGTACATTCTATCCTTAATCAAAAATTCGTATTCAAATGGGCGGGGGGATTTGTTGGCTTTTGAATAATACAGCTAATCTCACTCATTAAGACTACCGTCAAAAGGGTTGAATAATAATGCTCTGAAAAAGATAACTACTCTGGTGAACTCAGTACACGGGAAAAATCAAGTTTGTTACTGATGCAAAAGGGAGATTATGAGAATTTTTAGTTTTATTTTTGGGGGGTGTCGACATATTGATATCAATATCTCAGGAATTATCACTCAAAATCACACAAAATTTTGGTAACTTGTTGATTAAAGATGGATTAATATGTATGATAACAATGGTGGAAAACTTATTTGAAATAATTGTTTTAATTTAACTCAAAAGTTTAATATGCGTAACTTAATCCTTTCAGTATATGTACAATATGAATGCGCTTATAAGGGAGAAATTGTCTTGTTTTCTAAACTTAATGATTGAAAGTTAAATAATAAGGAATAAATTAAATAGGAACTTATGTTATTTAAGGAATCAATGTCTACTTAGCATAGTATACCAGGGCATCAACAATAGTGCGAAAAATGGGATAATTTGCATAACGGGTGAAGCCCGTTTTGCATAAATTATCCAATGCATGTTTCCCACTATCGTTGATGTCCCTGGCATACTATACTTACTAGACAGTGATTCCTTATATTTCCATTTTATTGAGAAAAAAATGAAGATTTAGATTTTAAAAATATAGACATAGATTTAAATTATACGGGACTCCAATGCCAGTTTGATAGTCCTCGCCCACTGACGTCAAACACAAAGGCAGCCGCACGAGATTTACATGCATATTTGGCCTTTCTAGCATCAAACATAGAGACATATGCACACGAGATTTGCATGCAAATTAGGCCTCCTTGGCCTCTGACCTATCGATCTGCCTAATTTACATTCCGGTAGAATTATCAAGATATCCACTCCGCTAACGTTCCAAGACTTATAACAGAGAGAAAAAATGGAAATATATTGGTATAACCTGGGTTGGAGGAGTTTACTTTTTTTATAAACCACGAAGCGGTTTATAAGGCATAATTAAACTCCCACATTTGTTGCTGTTTAATTCATTCCTTAAGAAAACAAATAGAAATGAGAATTTTATGATAAAACAATTGCATATAAAAAAAAATTATCACTGAATATAATGATTATATAATAATGACTTCACCATTTCTTATAAAGGTTATACCACTTCATATAATATGAAAGTGACCTTAAAGCAGCCATGAAGTTCCATACAACTTACAAGTTTTTATTTATTTTGTATTTCTGATTGTCTTCCAACCTTCTTCCACCCATAAACCAATAGTAAAAACTCTCTCCACTGTAACACTTTCCTACGTGAGCCCTGCACGCGAGCGTTGCTGTTTGCTTCAGGCTTACACTAACATTCTGAGGGGGTCTTGGTTCAGGAACAGCGGCGAAACAATCTGAAAATGAGAACATTTCAAATATTGATTTCGATATGGCATTATATACTGTTCAATCAAAATGTTGCGAAAATGCTACCCTTCCTTTTGCCTTTTGTTTAATGTAAGAGTCAAAACATCTAGCTTCAAAACTATAGTAAAGCTTTCCAGAAGAAATATATTGACAGACCAGGTTAGTAGTATAAGACGCCTGGCCGGGCAGGTCAACTGAGTGCACTTTAGTATAAGACGCCTGGCCGGGCGGGTCAACTGAGTGCACTTTTGGGGCTGAGGGGGATAGGCGGGTCAACTGAGTGCACTTTTGGGGCTGAGGGGGATAGGCGGGTCAACTGAGTGCACTTTTGGGGCTGAGGGGGATAGGCGGTTCAATTGAGTGCAGCCCCTGTGGGGGATAGGCCGTTCAACGGAGTGCAGCCCCTGGGGGGGATAGGTGGGTCAAGAGAGTGCAGATTGGGGGGTCTGTGGGGGGATAAGTGGTTCAATTCAGTACATATAGCCCCCCTAAATACGGGGTGTGTTAACACTATGTTTACATTATACACTACGCTGCTACTACGATTCATAACGCTGCTACTACGATTTTGGCAGCGACTCAAAAGAATGTGATTATGACGTCACTCATTCACAGTGATTTTCCGAAAATGAAAAAAACAATAACACACAATAGAAACAAGAACACAGCAATTTTATTCAAGTAAAAAAATACAACAATTTACTTTTTCTTCTTCTGTGCCTTATCGGTCATCAGGGATAGTTTCCTCTTGTGAGTAGTGCTGGGTCCTGGAATCTCTCTGTTATGTTCCTTTTTCTCTTTTTTGTCTCCTTCTTTCACTGGAGGTTTGGTCTGGTGGGTCCCTGAGATCTTGTGTTCCTGAGGCTTTTTCTCCAGTTTTTGTACTTCTTTGACAAATTGTTGATCCTCCTCATCCTCTTTACACTGATTAGCCCAATGGCCAAATTTCCCGCACTTGTAACACAGATCTTTCTTGGGGCAATCTGGGGCCCAATGCCCTAACTCTTTGCAGATGTAGCATGGATCCGTCTGTCTGGTTTTCTTTTTTTCTCCCGATTCCGCTTGTCCTTCTTTTTTCTGGTAAGTACTTCCTCCTCCTCCTTTCATTTTGTCTTGCATGTTAGTAACTTTCACTTCTAATTTGGATAATTTGGCAGGATCAAACAAAATTCACTGGCGTTGTAAGTTTTCAGATCAGTCAGCTTGTTGTCATGATCACCCACCTTCTCAGCAATATAATTCAGCTTGTTGTCATGATGTCGCACCTTCTCACCAATATAATTCAGCTTGTTGTTAAGATCACTCACCTTGTTGTTCATATCATTCATCTTGTTGTCAAGAGCGGACAGCATGTTAACAATCCCATCCAGAGTTGTATTCAAGATCCCCATATCTTCTTTATTCGCATATTCTGGAAGATTATACATGCCCAAATCTAATCCCACTGCATCCTGTGACTCTGGCATGGGGGCTCCTACATACCCTTGGGGTGTCACATAGCTGGGGTTGTCTGTAGTATTCATCATTGCTTCTGCCATAATATTTTTTTACGTCTGTCAAGTTCGAAATGTCAAGCAAGACTGATCCTCAAATCCCAGCTCCCCTTTATATACCTGCTGTGTGCCGTGTGCAAAAATACCTGGGCTTTTATACCTGTTGCATCATCTTTTTATATCTGTTGCATCATCTCTTTATACCTGTTGCATCATCTTTTTATATCTGTTGCATCATCTTTTTTATACCTGTTGCATCATCTTTTTTATACCTGTTGCATCACCTGTAAGGGGGGCCGTGTGCAAAAAAATACCTTTTACCTACGTTTTATACGGAGGGGTATAAATGAGAAGAAAAGTCTGATCCTTTCTTCACAATCGACTATCATGTCAACCCTGATACACACTCACTCTCTGATTTTAGATGGGTATGATTGTTTAGTACGATGGGCACAAAACCACCAAGAATCTCTACCCCCGGAGACAGAACAAGTATTTCAGGAAGCGAGCACTATCATGGAAACCCCTCAGGATTTATGGTTACAATGCCTAGCCTTATCACATCATGCCACCACCATGGGGAGACTAGCTACCATACATTTTCTATGTCGACATATGAAAACAATTCTGCCCCAGAAATGGTACGGACTGAACCTGACCCGTTATTTCGGAAAGCCTTACAGTTTCCTGACCCATCCCCAAGCGGGCAAAGTGATTTTATTGTGGCAGGACATAGATGCGATGGAGAAAGTATGTATTCAATACGGAATGAAATACCTGGAAATTTCACACAGGCTAGGAAATCCGTGACTTTTAATACCAGCCTCAATCAAATCTACGAATTACCCCCCGAAGACCGGAGAAGTCCCTGGATGGCCCTAGTAGCGGATCGAATACGATTTCGGAGGAGAATTCGACAGTTAGAAGCATTGTTAGTTTTTAAGAAATAAAATATAAAAATCATGTAATACTACATCAGTGTTATGTTATTGTATGACGTCATGAATACACTCGGGTTCGGCCATTCCCCCCTTCAATTTTGCTTTGTCACTGTGATGGGGCTTTTTTTGATCACATGATCAAAAGCGATTTTTTTGTGATAGCCTATCACAGGTCAGGATTTTTAATCACATGATGGATTATCGATGTTTGCCGCGATATTGCAGTATCGTCTGCTATTGTTTATAAATACAGACCCTCCGAGCGCTCGGCATCATTCCTGCCTAGCTGATTGTCAAAGAAAGAAGTAACAAGAAAAGAAGAAGATGTCTGGCGGAAATTTTTTTTATGAGGACTTGTTTCTTATTCCGGGTATATCATTTGAAAACCTGTTGATCCTCAGACGTTTAGACAACAACCGGGAACTGATGCGAATAAACTTAGCAAGATTCCAGGTAAATGACAGTCATCGTAGGAGGCCCCACCCCTACAGACGGGAGGCACCAAGATCGCCGCCACCACCCACACCCAGAGCCTCTACACCGACCCCCCAAATGCAAGCCAGGCCCCAGGGGAGGATTCCCCCCTGGGGGTTTACCGTATCCACGCGTCAGATTCTGTGCAGTTTATGCATGACAGAGGGGGAAGACAGTAATTTTGTGTGTGGGCGCTGCCTGCAGCGCCCAGCCTGTTTACTTTGTGCTGCCCGGATCGTGGAGCGGAACCTATGCTGTCCCCTTTGTAGAAATACAGAAGCAGTTATACAACCCGGGGGGCAGAGGGACAGGGACGAAGATGACAGTTCCGACGAGGATGGCATTCAAGGTGGCCATATAGTTCGACGTCTGCTGAGCCAGTAAAGTTACCTGGACCAAAACCTGAAACCAAAACCAGAAAAAACCAAAGGGGACAGCATAGGTTCCGCTCCACGATCCGGGCAGCACAAAGTAAACAGGCAGGCCTCTGCAGACATCTGCTGCAGACAAAATTGCTGTCTTCCCCCTCTGTCATGCAGAGGCTGCACAGAATCTGACGCGTGGGGACGGTAAACCCCCAGGGGGAATCCTCCCCTGGTTCCTGGCCTGTCCCTGGGGGGTGGGTGAAGCGGCTCTGGGTGGCGGTGGTGGCGGCGATCTTGGTGCCTCCCGTCTGTAGGGGTGGGGCCTCCTACGATGACTGTCATTTACCTGGAATCTTGCTAAGTTTATTCGCACCAGTTCCCGGTTGTTGTCTAAACGTCTGAGGATCAACAGGTTTTCAAATGATATACCCGGAATAAGAAACAAGTCCTCATAAAAAAAATTTCCGCCAGACATCTTCTTCTTCTTTTCTTCTTACTTCTTTCTTTGACAATCAGCTAGGCAGGAATGATGCCGAGCGCTCGGGGGGTCTGTATTTATAAACAATTATAGCAGACGATACTGCAATATCGCGGCAAACATCGATAATCCGTCATGTGATTAAAAATCCTGACCTGTGATAGGCTATCACAAAAAAATCGCTTTTGATCATGTGATCAAAAAAAGCCCCATCACAGTGACAAAGCAAAATTGAAGGGGGGAATGGCCGAACCCGAGTGTATTCATGACGTCATACAATAACATAACACTGATGTAGTATTACATGATTTTTTTATTTTATTTCTTAAAAACTAACAATGCTTCTAACTGTCGAATTCTCCTCCGAAATCGTATTCGATCCGCTACTATGGCCATCCAGGGACTTCTCCGGTCTTCGGGGGGTAACTCGTAGATTTGATTGAGGCTGGTATTAAAAGTCACGGATTTCCTAGCCTGTGTGAAATTTCCAGGTATTTCATTCCGTATTGAATACATACTTTCTCCATCGCATCTATGTCCTGCCACAATAAAATCACTTTGCCCGCTTGGGGATGGGTCAGGAAACTGTAAGGCTTTCCGAAATAACGGGTCAGGTTCAGTCCGTACCATTTCTGGGGCAGAATTGTTTTCATATGTCGACATAGAAAATGTATGGTAGCTAGTCTCCCCATGGTCGTCGCATGATGTGATAAGGCTAGGCATTGTAACCATAAATCCTGAGGGGTTTCCATGATAGTGCTCGCTCCCTGAAATACTTGTTCTGTCTCCGGGGGTAGAGATTCTTGGTGGTTTTGTGCCCATCGTACTAAACAATCATACCCATCTAAAATCAGAGAGTGAGTGTGTATCAGGGTTGACATGATAGTCGATTGTGAAGAAAGGATCAGACTTTTCTTCTCATTTATACCCCTCCGTATAAAACGTAGGTAAAAGGTATTTTTTTTGCACACGGCCCCCCTTACAGGTGATGCAACAGGTATAAAAAAGATGATGCAACAGATATAAAAAGATGATGCAACAGGTATAAAAAAGATGATGCAACAGATATAAAAAAGATGATGCAACAAGTATAAAAGCCCAGGTATTTTTGCACACGGCACACAACAGGTATATAAAGGGGAGCTGGGATTTGAAGATCAGTCTTGCTTGACATTTCGAACTTGAAAGACGTGAAAAAAAATATTATGGCAGAAGCAATGATGAATACTCCAGACAACCCCAGCTATGTGACACCTGAAGGGTATGTAGGAGCCCCCATGCCAGAGTCACAGGGTGCAGTGGGATTAGATATGGGCATGTATAATCTTCCAGAATATGCGAATAAAGAAGATATGGGGATCTTGAATACAACTCTGGCTGGGATTGTCTTGACAACAAGATGAATGATATGAACAACAAGGTGAGTGATCTTAACAACAAGCTGAATTATATTGGTGAGAAAGTGCGACATCATGACAAGTTGAAATATATTGCTGAGAAGGTGGGTGATCATGACAACAAGCTGACTGATCTGAAAACTTACAACGCCAGTGAATTTTGTTTGATTCGTGCCAAATTATCCAAATTAGAAGTGAAAGTTACTAACATGCAAGATAAAATGAGAGGAGGAGGAGGAAGCACTTACCAGAAAAAAGAAGGACAAGGGGAATCGGGAGAAAAAAAGAAAACCAGACAGACGGATCCATGCTACATCTGCAAAGAGTTAGGGCATTGGGCCCCAGATTGCCCCAAGAAAGATTTGTGCTACAAGTGCGGGAAATTTGGCCATTGGGCTAATCAGTGTACAGAGGATGAGGAGGATCAACAATTCGTCAAAGAAGTACAAAAACTGGAGAAAAAGCCTCAAGAGCCCAAGATCTCAGGGACCCACCAGACCAAACCTTTAGTGAAAGAAAGAGACAAAAAAGAGAAAAAAAAAGGAAGAAAACAGAGAGATTCCAGGCCCCAGTACTACACACAAGAGGAAACTATCCCTGATGACCGATAAGGCACAGAAGAAGAAAAAGTAATTGTTGTATTTTTTTACTTGAATAAAATTGCTGTGTTCTTGTTTCTATTGTGTGTTATTGTTTTTTTCATTTTCGGAAAATCACTGTGAATGAGTGACGTCATAATCACATTCTTTTGAGTCGCTGCCAAAATCGTAGTAGCAGCGTTATGAATCGTAGTAGCAGCGTAGTGTATAATGTAAACATAGTGTAAATACACCCCCGTATTTAGGGGGGGGGGGCTATATGTACTGAATTGAACCACTTATCCCCCACAGACCCCCCAATCTGCACTCTCTTGACCCACCTATCCCCCACAGGGGCTGCACTCCCTTGACCCACCTATCCCCCCAGGGGCTGCACTCAGTTGACCCACCTATCCCCCACAGCCCCAAAAGTGCACTCAGTTGACCCACCCATCCAGGCGTCTTATACTACTCAGGTTGTCTTTTTCCCAAATATGTTCTCTTGAATGTTAAAATAAAACGAAATGGGAAACAATAGAGGAATGAATATTTAATAACACAGTTTGTTTCTTTTTTTAAATATATATATTCTGTAAAAAAGTTCGGTAGATGTAGGGGTCGAAAAATGGATAAAAGCATCGCATTTTTTCTTTAGGAAAAGAAAACAATTATGATTTTCCATACCATAGAACTCTCTCTCTCTCTCTCTCTCTCTCTCTCTCTCTCTCTCTCTCTCTCTCTCTCTCTCTCTCTCTCTCTCTCTCTCTAAAAGAAATAAAATTCGGTACTAAGGACGTACTTATAGGGAGCGCAGCGAGCTCAGTAGACTAACGTGTAAAAACAGAAGAAATTCGGAATGAAATCTGTACATACGCAAGGCATATTTTCCTGTGCAACATTCCCAGAATTCCTTCGATACTAGGGTTCCATGCGAATTTATTTTAAAACATACAAAAGACCAAGAATCGTTGTTCTTTACCAAAGTGCGTTGCCACAGTGCGGGGACTATTGAAATTGACATGGAAGGCATCGTATAATTTAAATCTATTAGACAATATTTTTAAAAATCTTTTACAATTTTATTTCACAATGAAATGGAAATATTTATGTGGAATTACTGTCTAGTGTGACCCCAATTTTTGACACAAGGGACGCCGGATACTCTTTGATCCAAGACCTTTCAAAATGCAGTATGATTTTTAAACTCGTGACCTTGGCCTCGATGCTTTTTTAAAACAATTAAACTATGCTCACGACTTTTGAATGGCTTTAATATTAAATTTGTGTATTGCTTGTAACACTGGTGACAAGCTAAGACCTTTCTAAATACATGTACACTAAGATTTTTTTATTTTGTGACCTTGTCCTGGAAGTTTGACCTACTTTTCAAATATGTTATTTTTTACTTATAACCTCTGTGAATAGACAGGGCTTTCATATTTGACATGTTCATTTCCTGTGGCAAGATATTTCAGAGCATGCTCTGATTTCTGGCTCCTTTGCCTTAATCTTCACAATTCATTAGGTCACCTGAGTAAATTCAGGTGACCTATTCCTATCCGTTTTCGTCCGTCGTCGTCCGTCGTTCGTTGTGCGTCGTTAACATTTGAACATTTTCAGCTTCTTCTCTGAAACCACTGAACCAATTTCAACCAAATTTTAGATATAGCATCTATGTGTGAAGGGGAACAAAAATTGTGAATTTCGTGGTTCCAGCCCCCCTGGGGCCTGGGGTTGGGGCAAAAACCACTAAAATTAGTGCAATCTTTAAAAATCTTCTTCTTTACTCCTGGGCACCAAGCAGTCAAACTGTTGGTATGATTGTAATCAGCATTGAGTCCTCTACCAAAATTGTGAAATTCATGACCCCAGGGTCAGGGGTTCTAGTGCTAGGGCGGGGCTAAATAGGTTATATAGTGAAAATGCATTATTTCTTTGAAATTCTTCTTCATTGCTCCTAGGCATTAACTAAACTAACCAAGTGCATACTTGAATTAAAAATGGCTGCCTCTTCCAAAATTGTGAATTTACTGACCCCAGGGTCAGGGGTTCTAGTGCTAGGGTGGGCCCATATAGATTATATTGTGAAAATGCATTAATTCTTTGATATTCTTCTTTGCCGTTTGTGGGCATTAAATAAACTAACTAAGTGCATAGTTATGTTGAATAAGGCTGCCTCTTCTAAAATTATGAATCTAATGGCCCTAGGGCCAGGGGATCTAGTTGCAGGGCGGGGCTATATAGATTATATAGTGAAAATGCATTATTTCTTTGAAAACCTTCTTTTCTGCTCCTGGGCATTAAATAAACTAACCAAGTGCATAGCTATGTTGAATAAGGCTGCCTCTTCCAAAATTCTGAATTTCATGGCCCCAGGGTCAGGGGTTCTGGTGCTAGTGCGGGCTATAAAGATTATATAGTAATAAATGCATTATTTCTTTGAAAATCTTCTTCTTTGCTCCTGAGTATTAAGTAAACTAACCAAGTACACAGTTATGTTGAAGAAGACTGCCTCTTCCAAAATTGTGAATTTCATGACCCCTAGGTTGGGGGTTCTAGTGTTAGGGTAGGGCTCTATTGATTTTATAGTGGAAATGCATAAACTCTTTAAAAATCTTCTTTTCTGGACCTGGGTATTAAACCAATGAACTATGTACATAGTTATGAGATTTGTGAATTTCAGGGCCCCTGGGTCAGGGCTTTTTGTGTTAGGGCGGGGTTATAATGTTTATATAGTGAAAATGCACGAATTCCTTGAAAATCTTTTCCTTTGATCCTGGGTATTATGGCAATGATCTTCGTATATAAGAAAGCTGCTTCTTCCAAAAATGCATAATTTCCTGGCCCCTGGGACAGAGGTACTTGGGGGGGGGGGGGTATATAGTCTGAAAATAATTTAATGCTTTAAAATCTGCACTTTGGTATTAATCAACATGATGAAATAAAATTTATAAAATTTCCAAAACTTTGAAATATGTGTCCCCAGGGTCAGTAGTTCCTGTGGGATGGGGTGCACAATTGATAAAGATAAAGTGGAAATGCATTTTCTCTTTGTTACTCTGATCTACCTCTTGGTATTACTAACCAAAGTAAGCATGCTGAGTGCATAATTATGATAAGCAATGGTGCCTTTTTCAAAATTGTGAATTTCATGGCCTCTGGTTTAAAATATGAATCAAATTCAATTGTTGGAAAGTTGTTGCATGATATTCAGGTGACCTATAAGGCCCATGGGCCTCTTGTCTAATTTTTAAAAAATCAATTTCAGTGATAACTTCTGAATGACACATGAAAGGGCGTTCAAATTTGACACAATATTATGCCATAAAAATGTCATTCACCCACAGAGACACCGAAAGTGGGGGACCACAATTCTTTTAATTTGCTTGTTCACTCTTTATTTCCATGAAAGTTTCATCCCAAGAGATAAATTAGTATTCAACTAAATTAATTGAATACTAGTACACACAACATGGCAATGCATCAAATAAATTTGGCTAAAACTGGTTTGTCTACTCCCGGAAGAGAGATCTTTTCTTAATTATTCCTCTTTACATATATTATGTAAAAGTTGTTAGCAGTAACCAATTTCAGTGGACCAACCTGCATGTATATCCATGATTTTGGCGGGTGACAAATTTGGAATATTTGTATATCTATATGATATATGATGTTATGGGGTCCAACGTTTCTTTAAAGATGTTTCTAAAAATCTAATTCCTATATTTACACTTGTGAAAACTGATCACCTTTAAGCTATATAATTATAGGTCTATATATACCTGTCTATGATTGTATCAAATTACTTGACACAACTAATATCCAGTAACAGTAATGATTTTCATATACAAATACACCGATTCATGATCAGAATCTTGAATGCAAAATAATATGGACTCTAGTATGGCATAAATCATGAATATTTCTGTTTGATGTTCTTCGTGTAAAAAAATGCAAATTGCCAAAAGAGATACCTTCAACATAAAGGATAATGGTTGCTGAAGTGTTCCTTCCAGTCCTACTGCATGAGGCGACACATAGGAATTCTCCGTTAGCCTCCTTGCTAATCATTTCGATATTTAAAGAGGTGTTCTTATTATACAGTGTACATGATGGGCCTTTCGGGTTATTCTGACACCAGCCAAAAGGAAAAGGATGAAGGGCAGTCTGATTGTCAGGGCGGAAGAACCATTCCATGGTATCATAAGAGGAGGGGTTACATTTCATAGTGATTGCTTCTCTGGGGTAGCGCGAGGTGGATAAGCTGTCGTTAGGAGGTAACACGGGAATATCTGGAAAAAAAATGACCTGTCATTATATTAAAGTTGTCTTCTTTGTTGTTTTTTTTTTATCCTGCATCAGTATGCCTTGTTAGTTTGATAAAGGGAAGTGAGCCCCCCCCCCCCCCAACTCCTTTCTTGGTCCGCCTTGACTAAGATCTATATATGTAGCTTCTTGCAGACCACGAAGTTTTACAATAAATATACATCTGTAAATCAAATTTTGAAAAAAATACACACAATGCGTCATTATTTTATAAAGAGTAAAGTTATAGGGCACTATCTTAATAATTTATCATTCAATCATCCGGGATGTAAACTTGAGTTACCAGCTGGTAACAATTAAAATCATAAACAACCTATTTACTCTCGTGATCTAACTATACTTACCGCATGTTGTTTGAGCAGACGACCTGACAATAAGGAGTGCTGTTAAGAACGTAGAAATAACTGGGAAGGTACAAAGAACTTCCATGGCTAGTGAATAAATTGGATATATGGTAAATCCTGAAACATAAGCTTCAATCTTACAATTAAACAGCCGAACTTTCAAAACTATGAGAGGAAGGAAGTGGTCGAGTGCCTGAATTTTAATTCGACAGTCTATGCAGTGCACGGAAACAAAATAGTCATGAGTTTACGATCATCGCTTTATCTTTTTCATACGTTTTCCTGTCTACTTGGACTACTTACTTGATATTATACAATATTTGATGAATATCATAAACACAGACTAAAGTTTTACTTAAACAAGTGAATAATAACATCTAATCGCAAAACCTATCCTGCTGAAAAAAATCTAATCCAACTTTTTTTCTTCGTTGAGTTGAAATCTACAAGTTTTAATACCCCATTATTAAAACATGTAATCCATACTTCGCACTTAACTATTTAAAGATAACTTCATCCTCAGAACTACATGTATATTAAGATTGATTGTAACAAGAGAGAGAGAGAGAGAGAGAGAGAGAGAGAGAGACGAACTTACCGAAAATTTGTTTACAAACATCAAGGGTTACAGTTCGTAGCTTGCCGCAGGCTAGTAGTGAGGTAAAGAAGTTCCTATTTAAAAATAGCCTTAATTTAAAATTCATAGCTGTTAAAATATGTGCTTTAATACAACATTAATGATAAAAGTTGTAAAACGCACACACTTTTTTGTTAATAATAATCAAATTATTATAACAAGTAGTAGTTGCAACATGTAACTTAGATTTTCAGATAAAGAGGCGGGGGACAGGGGACAGCTAAACCTTCATACAAATACACTGTTTCCGGCAAACGGACATGAAAAATTCTATTTCTTTGAATTGGGATGGGGTTATTTAAACTTGAGGAGAGGGTAAGCTCGAAGATTTCGTCTAGAGTAGAGCATAATACGCTGCTTGTTGATTTCTGAGTCAGTATGGGACAAGTTCTTAACGTGGTGTATACATGAGCGATTCAGTTACCTGTGGATAAATTATGGTAAATCACCTAAATCAGTAGAAGATCCAAACATCTGAAAAACCCGGCATATATAAATAGCAAACAAGATGTCTCAGTAAATGTTTACAAGAAATTGTTGAGTCTTGTCACCGTCCACACGTATTTACACAATCGTCGAGGATAAAGCGGCAGAGAAAAAAACTGACCTCTCCCATGCTCCGGCTAAATGTTAATCCTACTAATTTACCACACACAAGTTTTATTGTAAGAATTCAAAATAAAACACAAAAAATGTGGGCGTAAATGCATAAAAAATTATTTTAAGATAAAAATCTTTTTAGCTACAGATGAATGCAAAAATTAGATATCTCCTATTCTATCTTAAGTCTTGGTTCCAATTCAAAGAAAAAAACAAATGTTAAGATAAAAAAAAACAAATAAAAATGTGATAAAAACACTAGGCAAATGAAGTACCAAAATTAAATTGAGAGTTTTGATAAGATTTTTAGTTCTTATTTTCTTATTTTCCATGCCTGGCTTAAATTTTGCAAACAGCCGTAAAGTTCCCACAGAAGCTGTTTTTCACGCACATCTTTGATTTCCCCTCGACCTTTTTTAGTGACTAGGGAGACGCACTATGATACAAAAATGACGGCAAAAATTCTTTATTTTCTCATTCTACTTTGGGGATGTTTAAAATTTTCTTTGGAGTTCAAAAAGGGTGAGCTTTTAAATACTTTAGTATAAAACATAACCAAAGATTGTAATTTGTGATGTCTAATATTTTACTATGATTCTTGTTTTAAGCTTAATACGATAAATTGCGACAGAAAAAACGGCAAAAATTGTTTTTATATTTATGTATAATTCAATGGTTAAATGATACTAACTTTTATTGGCAATCTCTGTAAAAAATGCTAATAAAAATGTCACAAACCAAGCCCCTTCATTGGGTCAATCCATATATATAATATCGACTTCAAACGGAAAAAACATACTAAGCACTTCGTGCTTGGTCGATATGCTTTTCTGTGAAGACGATATATCTTTGGATCGACCTCATGTAAACTTAAAGGCACCATTTGTATAATACTATAGTGTGGTGCAAAATACATAAAAATCGTTTTTTAACTTAAAAATTATACTTCTATTAAAAATTACATCCCTCTGTATATATATATCTATTCTAGAAGTCAGAGACATATAAAATATATGGTTTTATATGTCTCTGTCTACGCTAAAACAAGAAGATATACACTGTAGACGTGGATTTTTTTTCTTCAAATATTACATTTAGTATACATGTGTAGTTAATGATAAACAAATCATGCTAATCGCCGAGAGAAAATTCGATATTAAAAGTTTGAGACGTTGTTTCCAGTGGAGCAGGATGCTATAGGTTCGGCTTTCCTGATGACGTCAGATGTGTTCCTGACAGGGGAATTGTTTGATGACAAAGAACGCCAGGGGGCGCTGGTTTTGTTTCGGGGTGAGGATGAAACACTTGGTACAAAGTTCATCGTATACCTGGAATTTACTTCACATCAAGGTATGGCGTACTTGTATCGTTTCTTCTCACATATACGTTAGTCAATTCTCAGTGTCACCTAAATAATTGTCACCATATTGCGTGTGTCAATGTCTAGGAATCAAGATCACATCGCAGAGTTACCAAATTCTGAATAAAACCAAAACATACAACATATTAATGCCATGTCGCTTTTTATCATGAACAAATGTTAACAATAAGCATAACTGATTAACTGTAAAGTTTCCCGACAATAATTGTTTGGTATGTAAATCTAATGAATGTGAGGATAATGCTCTGCTGGTAACATAACTTTGTCTCTGGTAACATACCAATGTCTGTGGAACTGTAATGAACTGTGTAGATTCCATGCTTTTGCAACCTCTCATCTGTACTGGTTCGACATCAACAAAGACCAAGATATATTTTTTTCTGCAAATTGCAATTTTTTATTTGCAAAATTAAAAAATTATCATTTGCAAATTGAATTTTTGTTGTTTGTTTGAATAGCTCCATGTCACACAAAATATGCTTGAAAGTGCTTATACTTTCACAACCTAACGAGAGTTAAATACATTGTCGTATATAAAAGCCCTGGCACCAATTCTGTAAATGTTATGACCAAAGTTCAAGTTCTTGAAATATAGATCAAGTTCCAAGATCAAAGTTAAAAGGTAAAAAAATAACTGCACCCCAGGAAAGGTCTTATCACTAAGAAAAATATTTATTAAAAAAATGCCCCAATAAAAGGCCTAGCCTAGACCAAGCCTTCGGCTCAGGTAGCTAAAAATGAAAGAAATCGTTTGAATCCTTTCATTTTTTGAACGATTTCTTAAGGTTAATTGCACCATCAACATTAAATCAATTTTAAAAATTGCAGAAACGATTTTCTAAATTGTACAAACGAATTATTACATTGTATTTACGATTTTTTTAATTGCTCAAAACTTATTTTTAAATAAAAATTTTGCTTTCTGTAAAATTGATATGGCATGTCTAAGCCATAGTAGCTCAATAATTAATGCCGAATGTTGGCTTTTTAATGGCAGATGCCAAATCCTTGCATTCCAAGAGTTTTCGATCCGCTCTGTTGGGAAAGAGAGGAGTGGGTGGTAAACCTTGACTGGCAGAGATGCAGGTGTCCAATCCTTGCCGATTTTGATGCTCGACAAAGTACTATTGTATACTTCAAATAAATTTCATATTAGTCTGTTAAATCATTTTAAATATGACATTCTCTATTTCTAGTAATTATACACGTAAAATCACGGGATGGAAAAGAGGTTCAAATAACATTCCCATGTCAACCGCAGCTGAAAGAAAAAGACATTCGGATCACACTCCACTTTAAAGACCTCTTGAAATCCCCCAACCAAATCTTAATGTACATCAACTGCAAACTGGTGGGGAACAGACCAGCTCAGTTCCCATCAGGGAGGGGCTGGTAGGATCTCAGCGACAGGTAAACGTAGGACTCTGGGATCAGGATATTTAGGTTTATATAATGAGTCAGAAACTGAACCCTAATTGAAAGAAAATTAATCACCAGTCAAAATATATTGGCATATTCTCTCTATTCTACAAAAAAAAACAGAGCGTGAAATTTCATTCCTTATTTGTATCTTTTTCTCATTTTATTGTAAAATTGGTGGCTTGTATATACATGTATACAGTATATATAATATATATATGCATGAATAACATCTGAACCGCTACTATTTAAAATAGCCCAGTATTATTTCTTCAAATCAGATGAATTCAATACACTTCGTTCTTTACATTTTATGCATTTGGTGGCAGTTCACTTATTGACTCGAAGCGATAGAAAGACGTATCTAGTACTCGGGTCAGACAAAAAAAAAACATTTTCTTTTTCATTTGTAGCAAATAAATCCCAGATTCTGGTTTTATGTTGGAAAAGATGTAAGACATATCCTCCAGAATCAGGGATGCCCAGTCAGCTTCCCCACCCAGGAACCACCCTCTAGAAATTCTCATGATACTATTGTTCGAGTGGTAGTACCACCGCGCCCAAAACCAGACCTCGACAAAGACAAAACATCATCCAAGGATAGAACGGGCCATGTTAAAACTCCCAGGGAACCTCTTCCGGAAAGTCGACACAGGTTAACACTTCCGGATTCTAAAGCCATACCCATTGGTATTAAATGGTCACACGACTTCATATGATACTACAATTAATATGATGTTTAGTAACATTTTTATTTCTCAAAAATTCTCAATATGTATATATCAGGGAAATTGATACACCATGTCTTTAAAACAACCAAGTATAACATGTTTAATTGCATCAAAGATGACCGATAAAAAAATTTCTACGTTAATTTCAAATAATTTAATTCTGGTTGTAACGCTGTATTTGATTGGATAAAAAATTTACTTTATATCGTATAAAATGGGTTGCCTACGTCACAATGACGTACGTCAAAATGTATCAATCCGCCTGACGTTACATTCAAATTTTGTACCAATTGAACTCATTTTGTAAGAACAATCATCTTTGTTTCTTACATCAAATAAATGAAAATTAAATTATAAGCAATGAATTTAATAGCTACCCATTTTATACGGTATAAACTGGGTTGGAACTGTTTACGCTTTTTTATAAACCACTTCGCGGTTTATAAAGCGTAAACTGCCCCAACCCAGTTTATACCGAATAAAATGGGTAGCTATTAAATTTATTCCTTAAATAACTTGCTTCACTTTTTTAAGTGTCTTTTGACGACGTCTGCCGAATTGACCTCATCTAGCCATGTTTTACAGATTCTAGAGAAGTCCATCTATTGTCGACTTCCCTGAGAACACTCACTTCCGCCGTTATGCAACTGCAGCGACAGATAACGATACAGGTCTCTTCATTTTTACTTTACCACCTACTTTTGTTTAAGTTTTAAAAAATAAAATTGAAGTAGAGGATGTGAACTATTTTAAGGCCGTCGCTTTGCATCTTTGAAGGACAAGAGCTTTTGACCCACTTATGTTATTGTTCAGATGCTTTAACAAAAGGATCGGACACAAGTTCTTCAAACTTAGAAGGTCCTTTCCTTTAATCTCCTTACAAACCTTTGAAGTTACTTATCCCCCGACGAGGCTAAATGCACATATTTTTATTATAGTAAATTTATGATATAGTTTTGCTTTTATTTATTTTACTATTTATTTTAATAATTCATTAATTTTTTTGCTGACTGTTAAATATCACTTTAGGGCCAAGAGACACGTTACCTGAGAGAAGTCTTGAGTCGCTGTGATATGTGTAGAGGGCGCACTGGCCAACCAACAGATACGTGTAAGAATAAAGACATATCTAATCAATAAAAAAGCAAATTCTCTACTAAAGTCAATAATCTTACTGACTGGGTTCCAGGGCCACATGCATGTTGTGGCCTGAGGCTAGTAGATCATCGTCTTCTTCAGGATTGCTTGTAAATGAGGGTAGATACAAAGGGAAACGTCTTCTCTCCCACATGGTTTTATTTGCAGATCACCGAGAGAGAATTTTGACTTGCCAGGACAAGCCATGCTACGATAACGTGCAATGTGAGGATACCTCACGTGGATACCGGTGTGGGAGGTGCCCAGAAAACTTCACAGGAGACGGAATCACATGTGTTCCTAAAATCACGTGTGAACAGAAGCCTTGTTTTGGAGGCAATTTGAATTCAATTTTGCAACTTTTTTTTCATAATAAATTTGAATTTCCATATGTGTATTTATAACTTTTGTTTTTAATTTTGTATTAAAAGACTCAGTGTATTATTTATGACCAGGTGTACAGTGTACGGAAACAGTGGACGGAGTCCAGTGTGGTCAGTGTCCGACAGGAGTGATAGGCGACGAATCACGGAATGGTTGTCAAGACGAGACAATAACGTGCCAATCCAGACCCTGTTTTCCAGGAGTCACTTGCGTTGACACTACGTACGGGTACGAGTGTGGAGATTGTCCGACCGGCATGCAGGGAAACGGGACTGCCGATGGATGTGTTCAATCCCCAGAGAGTTGTGAAAGTCTTCCTTGCTTTGATGGAGTTCTTTGTATTGATATCGATGACGGATATCAGTGCGGTCCCTGTCCACAAGGCATGACGGGAAATGGAACAAAATCTGGCTGCCACCCCATTGGTTGTGATTCAAATCCTTGTTTTGCTGGAGTGGAGTGTGTAGATTCCAATAATGGATATCAATGTTCGTCGTGCCCTGAGGGATATAAAGGGAACGGGACATATTGCACGGATATTGACGAGGTAAATCGCTAATAAGCATTCCCGGAACTGAAATGACATGTGCAGATCCAGGGTTTTAAATTCCTGGAAGATCTAAATGAAGATATCGTAAATTTTTGACAAGTAAAAGTCAAGAAACAGCTTATCTTGTGTTGGAGGAAAGGGAGTACAATGTAATAGTATGTTACTTTCAAATGAAGTCAATTTCCTTCCAATAAATATTTCTCATCATATTTTCCAAGGTCCAAGTTTCTTAGGGAATCCAAGGTCATTTTTGCTTACGGGTGGTATAATGAACTAAGTTCGCAACAGTTTTTTTAATAAAAAAAAAATTCTGATAAGTAATATGCTAAATTTTCCTTATAGTGTAGAGTACATAACCCATGCAGTTTCATGACGGAATGCGTGAATTTAATTCCTGGATATAAGTGTACAAGCTGCCCCTCTGGATACTCCGGAAATGACGTGTCTGGAGTCGGTATCGAGGGCCTGAAAGCCGTACAGCAGGTCTGATTGTAACAACTTGATGATCGCATTCATCACATTTGTCCAATAATCCTTTATTCATTTAGAGAGACTTTTTTATTTTAGGCTTGTGAAGACGTAAATGAATGTGAAGACGGAAATAATGGAGGCTGTGTGGATTATTCTCACTGCACAAATACACTCGTATGTTGAAAATGACAAAAACACTCGTATGTAGAAAATGAAATACATATACAACCGTATGTAGAAAATGAAATAAAATTAAGTAGAAAATGAAATACACCCGTATGTAGGAAATGAAATACATTCCAGTATGTTTAAAATGAAATACACCAGTATGTATAAAATATACCTGTATGTATAAAATGAAATACACCAGTATGTATAAAATGAAATACATAAGTTTATATGTAGAAAACAAAATACATCCCCATGTAGAGTATGAAACACACTACTAGAGTGTTGAAATTGATATACACAGATACATGTAGAAAATAAACCAGTATCTAGAAAATGATATATACCAATATGTAATTAAAAAGATTTTGGGTGGAAACTGTTTTTGATTCCCATTGAATGATTGAGTAAATTACGAGGGGCATTTAAAAAGTTCTGGCAACTGTTTTATAAAAAAAACTAACCGTTTTACGGAATTTTTTGAGTTTGATATCATTGGAAAGATCAGAAAAATATACACATGTTATGACGTCACTCTGTAATTTTTATGACGTCATAACTCCGAAAATTACGTCACAATATAGACTGCCTAGCATACTGACCATAAAAATGACGAAACAAAAGAACAATTTGATCAAATTAAAATTTTCAAAACAACTTTTGCTCATTACTCGGACGCAAGCTAACGGAAAAAATGCAAGTTGGTGGAATGTTTACATAGACTAAAATCTGTCATATGGTGTTCTATTTCAGAGATATTTTTGTTCTGAAATGGTTTTAGCGAGTGTCAAACTTAGCATCTTTTTGTCTAATCTCGCTCAAACTATTGCATAAAAAATACCTAACTGTGAGAAAGAGACAAAGTTGACAATCAAAGAGAAATAGACGATCTTGTTACAAAATTTAATGGCATAATTTCGTCATGTGTTTTAACCAGATTTGTGGGATCGATGAAGGCTCAAGAGAAGTTAAGTTTAGTGTGCCCTATATTTTCTCGTAAAATCCAAAATGGCGGCAGCGCAGTTGTAGCCCCACCATACCTCCACATATTTGCAAATTTTAATGCCTGGAAAATATATAAGATTTTACATGTCAGTGTAACTTTTATTCATTTTTTGGATTCAAAAGTCAAAAGCAGTAGTGAGTTTTGGGGCGCTGAAGTTGAATTAATATGAAAAAATACGCACAGAATCAAGTCAGGGGCAAGATGTAGTACATTTTATTCGTAAACAGTAAGAGTCCTATTACTCAAAATATATTGGATGAAAACTGCATTAATATACTTCAGTTTAATAAGGACATGTTTCATTTCAAACAATGGAGAGCTATATAAAAGACCGAATATCCAGCCGTATCATGTAAATAAAAATCTTAAATGAATAACGATGATAGCATAACCGGACATAAAACGTGCTCGTAAACAAACTATAAAATAAATAATGGGATTGCTGATAAACAGTATCATAGTCCTACTCTACTTCTTTGCATGTGAAAAAATTCCTGGAAATATTTTTTTAAAATAAGCCTTTGGCAGCACTTTTACGATCGTCTCATATGGATAAAAAACGCGAATTTTCAGTATGCTGAACATTCTATATTGTGACGTCATTTTCGGAGTCATTACGTCATAAAATTTATAAAGTGATGTCATAACTTGTGTATATTTTTCTGATCTTTCCAATGATATCAAACTCAATAATTTCCGTAAAACGGTTAATTATTTATCAAACAGTTGCCAGAACTTTTGAAATGCCCCTCGTATATTGGAAGAGGTTAGGGTGGTTTCTCCATCTTAGAGATTATTGGTTTTAGAGAATGTACGATGATTTCTGGTCATGTATGGTATTGTTTGTATTTGGAAAATGTTTCTATGATTCTATTTGAATTGTTAGCCATCGCTTATATGAGACAGTGTTTGATGTCACCTTAAATACCGTTTGTGGAGAATGCTTTGAGAATCCCTCTGGAATTGTTAGGTTTCGTTTGTACGGATAGAGTTTCTGATGAATATATTCCTTGCGTGTCTAGGGATCCTTTGTATGTGGAGAGTGCTTTGATGATTTTGTCGGTAACCAGACAGTTGGATGTCGAGAGATGAAGACGCTCTGTCCAGACGGAGTGAGAGAGTGTCACAAACACGCCATGTGTGTCATGGGAATATCGGGGTATGACTGCCAGGTGAGTGTTATCAAATGGAAACGGTGAATTCAGTCAGTTTGGATGACTTTATTCGAAAAAAAAAAAACTAAATAAATGTAATTCATCTTTTAATCCTCCAAAATATGACTGAAACATAGCCGATTTGGCGCAAAACAATAAATAAATCTTTTTTGTGTAAATTCTTATCTCAAATATTTGCAGTGCCGAATTGGATATGCTGGTAATGGGGAATACTGCGCCAAAGACAACGATCTGGATGGCATGCCCAATATCGGGCTTCGTTGTAAAGAATACAGATGCTCAAGAGTAAGCTTTGTGATATGTGCCATAAAAAAATCAATGAATCTTCCAGAAGATACACTTTTGCTTCTTTAATGGCTCTTTCCAGGATAACTGCCGAGATGTTCCAAATAGTGGTCAAGAGGATGTTGACCTGGATGGAATCGGAGATGCTTGCGATGAAGACATCGATGGAGACGGAATCGTTAATAATCCAGTAGGCTTCAAGGACCATGATTATACGACACCAAAATTCTTTATAAAAGTTTTCATGAAAATGTTAAAGTTCTGAGTTGATAATGCAAAAATAATGTTTTAGGACAACTGCCCGTATGTAGCAAATCCTGGTCAGGAAAACACAGACGAAGGAGAAAAAGACAATCATGGAGATTCTTGTGATAACTGTCCTAGTGTACCCAACACTGACCAGCTCGATACGGACAAGGACGGCGTTGGCGATGCCTGTGACCCTGATATAGATAATGACGGTGAGGAAAAATACCAGCTCTACGTTTCAGCGAAAAATTATCCGATGTTACTTAAATCTTAGATAGATCCGGATGTACAAGACTAACATATACAATACAGATAACTTTGACTTCAGAAATATATAAAACTATAGGTGCAAGATGATAAACCAATTAACCCTACATGATACCTCAGAATGTTGCACAATGAATAGATAAAAGTGCTGGATATATAAACTTATTTTGTAGGAATTTTGAACGACAAGGACAATTGTCCTAAAGTGGCTAACCCTGACCAGGATGATGGGGATGAAGACGGCATCGGGGATCTGTGTGACAACTGTCCCTTTCTGGCGAATAAATTACAGGTAATGAAACATATGGAGATAATCCATAAAACAATACAAAATAGGAGCAGGGCAAACACGGACCTCAAAAACATCAGAGGTGGGTTCAGGTGCCATGAAGAAGTGAGCATCTCCTACCGACCAGTCACACCCACCGTGTGCTCCTTGTCATGATCGGGAAATAACGGAAAAAATGGTCGTCAATCCAGTCTACAATATAACCTGTATAAATAATGGACTTACAATTAGTATGAAAATCATCAGCCAGCATTTGTCTCGATAAATTGTCTTTGCGGACAAGGTCATTGTATCGACCATAGAAGTTAAAAAATCACGACTTTAAACGATATTTTTGGTATTCCTGTTTCAACAACTTGTTTGTCAATAATTTACCTCATTTTAGAAATTATACGTAGAACATGCTCTTGCGTATCGAATCAACTGAGATAGATAAACTTTGTATGCAGGTGATGAAGGTATATGCTGCATATGTAAGGGAAATTGACGATTGAAAAGTTAAAGTCATCATGGTTTATCATAGAGCTTGATTGTTAGATAAACATTAACGTCTTTTTCAAATAAATATCAAACAAGAAACATGTGTCAGACTCTGTGGTGTCTTTTATGTCAAGCTCACCGTGATATAACTATGGAATTTGCTATTGTTAACTGACAATACGTCGCCGATATATCTAAATGTCGGATTGAAAGCTACAGCATATTTATTAAGCTTTTGATCAAATTCTGCTTTAGATGAATACAAAACTAGATATTCTAATAATGGGGCACAATTGGTACCCATGCGAATTCCAATAGATAGTTCCATTTTTTTTTTTGGAAAAAACAGCGGTCAATGAAATAAAAAAGCCTGGACTCTAATTTATCATGGGGAATGGTTGCGTATAAAGTTGAAAAGTTTTATGCTGTTGAATTGTCCAAAAGTTTCTTGGAGGTTTTAAGTACCCACCTCTGATTTAAATCACCTCTTGAATATACCGTTGCACAGTACTCTTGAAGTTTCTCCTTCAATACTGTTAATTTCTTAGTGACAAGTACAGAAAGAGGCTTGGTTGAACATTTACTGGAACCCACTATGTATTTTTGTTTGTAAGATAGCAATTGTCCCCTTCTGACAAAAAAAAAACAACAGTTAACAACTGTCCCTTTCTGGTGAAAACTGTCCCTTTTTGGCAAATAAACAACAAGTAAAAACTGTCCCTTTCTGGCAAATAAACTACAGGTATTAATGAAGGATATGGAGATAACGAACAGTATTCAATATCAAAGCCCATAAAACAATACAAAACAGGAGCACACCAAACACGTACCTCCAAAACATCAGAGGTGTGATCAGGTGCCATGGAGGAGTTAGTATCCCCTGCCGACCGGTCACACCCGCCGTGTGCTCCTTGTCATGATCGGGAAAAAATCCGTCGTCTGTTGTCCCTTTCTGGTAACTTATGCTTTCAATGCTGTCTGTTTGAACTGAAGTGTAAATGTAACAAATCTTTTTGTATATTCGTTTGCAGAATGATTCTGACCATGACTCTATCGGCGACATCTGTGACACGAACGAAGACGAGTAAGTTTATTTTTAAAACTTTTTTGTGTATGAAGTATTAACGAGGTTATATTCCGTCTTTAATCTGGTCATTAGTACATGTAAATTGTTTAATTTAGAGACAGTGATGGAATACAAGACAATTACGACAACTGTGAGTTTGTTCCAAACGCTGACCAGTTGGACACAGACGAGGATAATATCGGTAAGAATCATCGTCAATAAATTGCATGAAAATTGTTATAAGTAAATTAACTTACCTTTTTTATAGTACTTACCTGGGTTTTGACCTAAGGGTATGAAATTGACAGAATGGATACGAATCATATCTGATTACACGTTACATCGATTTCAGGCAATGTTTGTGATGAAGACGATGACAATGACGGGGTAGATGATGATGACGATAACTGCCCTCTCGTATCAAACCCTGACCAGGTCGACACGGATGGTAAGCCAACCCTGTAATGGAGTCATGCGATAGCAAATATCATATAATTATCGTATACAGTGTCTTTTGATCTTCATCCAATAAATGTTAACAGGACAAAATGCTCTTCTAAAGGTGATGGATACGGTGACGCCTGCATAGATGATACTGATGGAGATGGATTCGCTGATGTGGAGGACGTTTGTCCGGAACATAAAGATATCCATTCCACTGACTTCCGGTCTTTCCAGACAATCCTGTTGGATCCAGTTGGGGATTCTCAAATAGACCCGGAGTGGCTTATTTTAAACCAGGTACATACATGCAAGAATAAAGTAATTCGATGGGAAATGGTCGAAATAATGACATAATCTTTATACTAATAAATAAATGCAAAAATTATCATTTACATTGTTTGTTCGGGTAAAAAGGGAAATCAATAATAATCCTAAGACAGAATAGAATTCGTCTTATAGGGAGCAGAAATAGTTCAAACAAAGAATAGCGATCCTGGGTTAGCTGTCAGTAAGTAACCATTTGAATTTACCTTGTAATTTCAACACTGACATCATATTTATAGTGTTTCTTATATCATGGTCGATACGTTGAATTTTCTTTAGGTAATATCACGTTTTCTGGCGTGGATTTCAGCGGGACTTTCTTTGTGAATACGGACGTGGATGATGATTATGCTGGATTTATCTTCAGTTTTCAAGACAACTCTAAATTTTATTGTATCATGTGGAAGAAGTCCGCTCAGACATACTGGCATCCCACTCCATTTCGGGCAGTTGCGGAGCCCGGAATTCAGCTGAAGCTGGTAAATTCCAAAACCGGTCCGGGTGAATACCTCAGAAATGCTTTATGGCACACAGGAGATACAACAGACGAAGTATGCTATATTGCATTAATTTAAATTTAAAATATTATTGTGTCAGACCTTGACATGATGTGCTTGTTTGGTGATTAACATTTCCACAGTTTTTCAGTTAGACCTCCACAGTATTTTTCTCTTTGCACAGGAACGTAGTATTTGACCAGTTGTTTTAACTACATTTGGAAACTTCTTAATTTGTTTTTAAGTACGAGTTCTTGAATCTCCTTGTACTCTTGTACCTGATAAAATTGACTTTATTGGCATTTTTTTTGTAAAGGTACAGCTTCTTTGGAAGGATCCTAGAAATACAGGTTGGAAGGAGAAGACAGCATATCGACTGGAGTTAATTCATAGACCGAATATCGGTCTTATTAGGTACATATAGTAACACAATCATATATCAATGAAAAGACTCTCACCTTTTTCGTTCTTGATTGCTTGCAAAATTTACAGTGTTATTTTAAACCTTATATTGATTTTTTGTAGAATTTTGTTGTTTGAAGAAACAAGCCTAATGGCTGACTCAGGAAATGTGTATGACGCCACTCTGCGTGGCGGAAAACTGGGCGTATTTAGCTTTTCTCAGGAGGGTGTCATATGGTCTGATCTGGTTTATAGGTGTAATGGTAAGTTTCACATACTATGAATGGGAAGAAATCTGCATTACTTGACAGATGTCGATATATATTTTTACTTTTCTTGGGGATTTTAGATTACGTACCACGCGGCTTGTTGAGAGAGGGAGCCGAGCCTTTAGAACCAGCTGAGGGATTTCTGGAAGATTCCGGGATGTACCAGTTTGTCAGAAAGAGATAAAGGCCGATATAGATTTCATATCGTCACCTTCTGAAAGTGCACATTGAGAGAGACCTCGGTCGTTTTACAATGATAGGTCCGTGGTTGTGTATTTTTTTTAATCAGTCTCTGTCCATCATGCTGTGATACTGTCTTATGAATATGCAATAACATGCCTTCTCTGTGTATTTGTCGTAACAAAAGACTCTAAGTGGCGCTTATATGTAACCATTCTTTCTAAGTAAGGAAGTATATATTTTTTGATTTGAATCCCCAATATTAATTTGAATTCCCAATTTTTTTGATATATTATGAACACTTTCGAAAATGATGAAATAAATTGAATAATTATAAAATATCATTAAGAATTGCGCTAGATGCATAAAGGGCCCAGAACATTGAATGGTCAAATGTTTTCTTTAATATAAGAAACTTCTGTAAAACTTTCTCACAACCGCTGACCTTTGATAACTTAGCATGCGTTGTGGAACATCAAGTGTATAGGAAAATGCACTCTTCATCTTATTTATAAATGACTTTCGTTTAATCATCAGATGCAGTGCTTTATTCCTGACATCTTTAAGTGACGATAATATTACTATGTACTTTCCAATGACAACAGAGTATCAACTCTAGCAGGCCGTCTTGTTTCGCAAAGCCTAGCAAGATGATAACAGAAAAAGATTTTTCTGATTTTATTATTTTTAGTTACCTCGTTTTCGATATTTCCATTTGAATTATCGAATTGTTTTGCTTTGGGGTAATACCGTTACATAATCGAAACTCTCTTAGGACAATGTCAGGTGATTAAAATCATCAAAGATTGATTGATTGATTGATTGATTATATATTGTTTTCAATGTTCCTTTTGGAAATTTTCCATTCATATGGAGACGCCACCACTTGCCGGTGGACAGCTGCAAATTATGTCCTATGCTCCGCACTCAAGGCCATTGAGCAGTGAGGGATCTTTGTCGTGCCAGCATCTACTGCGACACGGGACCTCGGTTTATACGGTCTCATCCAAAGGACCAATCTCCACGTCCCACTATGGGATTCAAATCCGCGACGTAAGGATCAACTATTTACTTTGGACTCTAGAGCAGACGCTTTAACGACAGATGATACAAACAAAAAATGGATGCCTGGATCCGTATATATTTTTTGGCTTAATTTCATTGCAAATGATGCAAATAACAAAGAAAGAGGGCGTATAAGTCGTGGACAATCACCCGCTCTGAGACAGAATGTTTCTCAATTTTCAAAATTCACAGATAAGTTATATTTTTCAAAAATCATGTTCTCAGAAATGTCATCTTCAAAACATGTTATCTTTATTTTTGATAATCTTTATTTCAAAGTTGACAGTTAAGCATATTTAGTGGAAAATGGGTTTTCTAGAACTATAAAAAATGAATTTTGAATATGAATGGGTCAAGTCTATATAAAGAAATTGTAAACCTGTGATGTTAAAAAGTCTGCCCTTCTGAAACCATCCTTATTAATCTATACAAATATTTTTCACTTGAAATCCTATTTTTGTGAAATTTTGAATGAAAAATTAAAAACTACGGGGTTAAACTTATTTCTTTTACACAAACATGACCCAAGTTGTTATTTTCAAAATTTCTGACATGTTTGTTTTGTATCATCTGTCCTTAACCACTGCGCCACGGTGGCGACACATCACCAAAGAAGTTTCTTACCATTTGTATGTTCCTGCATGAAGAAGATTATAAATTCAGTGCATGTGCAAGATACTGGTGGTACTCATCAAGCGGTTGGACTTCTGATACGATAATAGACATAAGATTTTGATCCAGATTTAACACTTACCCCATCATTCATTAGCCTGCCCTCGGAAGTATTGTGTATCTAAATTGCAGTCTCCAAGTTTCGCAAATTAAATTGCCATTGGGGATGCCGCTTCGACTGAATTTAGAGGGGAATATTCCCAAGAAAGTCTTCGTTTACGTCATTGTTTTCATCCTTCTACCTGATGCATATAGCTGTATTTGTTCTGTATTCGCTACGTTTGTACATTCATCGGCCATAACGGAAAACCTGGCACATGACAATATTGAGCGAAGTTATTCTTCTCCAGCTAACTCGGTTATCCTCCCGTTCTGTGAAAGTGACACAACGATGACCTACCTCTAAACGGAATATTCAGTTAAAGAGAGCAATGACTACGTTTATAATTTTCAAAAATAGCATTTCCCTGTTTATAAAAGCAGTATCTTCATATCTTTGGGATATTCTGCGTGCTTTTCATGTTTTTTTCGATGCCTCGTGAATAGGCAGAGTGCCTCCTTTACAGTGTAGAACACGTAACAATTTTAGCACAGCGCTTTGCTCGCAAAGCAATGGTCGGTCTCTGTTGCGGTGTTCAACCGGAAATGCAGCTTCATCAAATCAAATTTACTAGTTCCAATATCTATGCACAGATTTACAAGTTTGTGCGATTACTTTTGCTGACTAAAAGCAATATAGGGGCACAAAAAGCGCCATACATGTATCTTAAACATTGCAATTTATATCCCAAAGTTAAATAGCTGATCGTTTACTATGGAACGCCGTCACTGCCTTATAGCAGAACACTACTATTGCATTGTGTCAACCTTCCATTACATTATGTCAACTCTTTATGACATTAACCCACACTACTGTTGCATTGTGTCAACCTTCCATTACATTATGTCAACTCTTTATGACATTAATCCACTCTACTATTGCATTGTGTCAACCTTCCATTACATTATGTCAACTCTTTATGACATTAACCCACACTATTATTGCATCGTGTTAACTTTCCTCTACATTATGTCAACTCTTTATGACATTTACACATACTACAATTATATTTCGTCAACTTGCATTTTGTTATGTTTACTTTTCATGAGATCTTAGTTTTTATTAACTGATGTGAAAAGCTCATGCCATACTGTGCGCACTCTTCTACATTATGTCGATTCACTATTACGTTATGCGAACACGGGTATCCTCGGTCTTTATATGAGCATAACGTATTTTCCGCGTTCCGCAAGCACTAAAAATGGCGGGAGAAAAACTGTCGTAGAAGAGATTAATTAAAGTCACGTCGAAATTCAGTGGTGTTTACTTTAATCTCATAATTAAATAAATCAAATATTATGAGTCGTGCAGCAATAATTTTTTTCTTTTTATTTTGATTCTTTTTTTTTTAATAAAAGTCTTAAACTTTGAAGGACATTGCATTAGTTTCACAATAAGCTTAGCTGAATTAAGCTGAAAACTTTTTTTCTATAAAACTATTAAGCCTGAGAGCTTCTCCGCTTTCCGCCCTTGGTCTCCAACCATATACCGTCCCCCTTGTTTCAAGATTCCCATATCTGCCACTGATATGTGCCCATGCATGCTTACTAAGGCATATTCAATTGATTTAGATGAGCGACTGGTAGATTTTTGTAATAGAATTCTGGCCCTGGAATGATTAAAAAAAATTACTAACTCCAGTGACGTACAATCTTTTTTTTTGAAAGAGGAGGTCAGCCAGAAATAAAATCATTTATCCGAAAAAACTTGACAAGCCAAGAAAAAAAAAGTCCAAGCCCGAAAATGCTGTTTCGGGGAGAGGGGTCCAACTTCGATCAGTCCTATTTTTTCCCAGATATATTACAATACCCTCAGTGGATTATACTTCAACAAAAAGTGGGGGTGGGGGCTGTACAGTTTCAATGAACATTACATTTTCTATAGTAAAGTTATGTCTGGGAAAAGAGGGGGGGGGTGATATTATGTGCCTGTAATTTGTCCTAATCAATCAGGACCCCCCCCCCCTTCTTACTCATTAAATCACGGTCGTCAACATTCATTATATATTAGATATACAGCTTTTAGATAATGTAAATGTTTTTTAACATTAGGTAATGAACTATTGGAATCAACACGATAAAGAGTTAACACAATATAAAGATATTTTTAAATCACATAAGAAAGAGTTGACATAACGTAATTATATATCCACATCACGGAATGGAGTTTTGACATAATGTAATAAAGTATTGATATAATATAAAGATATGTTCACATTATGTTATACATTTTTACACCACATAATAAAGCACTGACATAAAGGTAAGATGTGTTCACCTCATATCATGATGCCCTCGCCGTAAAATAAAGATAAATCCATATCACGTAATAATGCTTTGATATAATAGAAATATACATTCTCAAAAAGGAATGGGCTTTTGACTTCGTGTAATGATAAGTTTAATTATAAAACACAATTTACTTGACGTAATGCAGTTTTGACCTCATATTTTAAAGAAATGAAATGATGTAAAGAAAAATTTATTTCATGCAAGAAAGTTTTAACACAATGTAAACACATTATCACTTCATATAATGAATTTTTTACTTCAAGTTATGAAGTGCTGACATAATGAAAGGATGTATTTACTTCATGTAATGCAGCATTGACATGATGTTAAGATATATTTACATAATCTCATAAAAAATGGACATAACGTAAAGATATGTTCACATCATGTAATGATAAATTGACATAATAAATGCATAGTTGTATGCTATAAGGCAGTGATGGCGTTCCATAGTTTACCTTTAACAGAAAAGGAGTTCTTTTCTTATGGAGGAGGACTCTTTTTGCTTGACAGTATCTTTGATTTTTCAACCTCATCTAAACCTTTCTGTATCATTTTTTTGTTATTAATAGTCCCTGTTTTGGGGTTTTCCCTTGCTATATTACTCGGGCTTTCAAATGTCTTATGTTGGCACAAGATATTCATCTGTTTGTGAAAGTATAGGGAATTACTAGTAACCTGTATATAAGAATTTTCTTGTTGCGAAGTTTTTTGCGTTAGCGCGACGTGGTGTTGTGAAAATTGCGCTTTCCTGACGGAATACTGAGTGTAAGTGCGCTACAAGTTCCTTGGCTTTGTAAACATTACACTTCCGCCATAGCATCATGAGAAGGGTTGTTAAGAAATGTAGTGAAATTCCATTGATTGAGTTAATAATTATTTAATAGGATTTAAATAGTCTTTGAAATCAAACATTATCTCCTGTGTCCGGCGATTGTTCGGTCAAAAGTTGATGAAACAAGAATATCAGCAGTCTCGTTTAAACTCGTCATTTCGTAAGTTCTATGGTCGATACAATGACCTTGTCAGCAAAAACAATTTATCAATCATTCAAATGCTGAATTACGTTTTTCATTCCAATTGTTAGTCCACCATTTATAAACTGAATTGGACGACAGAATTTCCCAATATTTTCCCGCTAGCATGACCACTAGCACACGGCGGTGTGACTGGTTGGCAGGGGATGCTCACTCCTCCATGGCACTTGATCCCACAT